GGTTTCTGTTGAGAGTCTCTGGTTACTCTGATAGGCCTAGGCCTGTCTCTGCTATGTGGCTGTTTCTCTCTAGCCACAGTTTCTATAACTTTGTTTTCAGTAGTGGGTTAATTATGACATAATGAGAGGAAGTTCTTTTTTGGTCTTATCTGTGTTCTAAATGCCTCCAGTATCAACATAGGCACATTTATTTATTTATTTATTTATTTATTTATTTATTCTAATTTAAAGAAGTTTCTTCTGTGGCTTCATTTAAAATGTTTGCTATTCCTTTAGAGGGGAATTCGTTTTCATGATGTGGTTGTTGTATTCTGTGTGTTGTACAAGTCCTGTCCACACCTCTTGACAATTCATCTCTGTCTTTATTTGGAATGTCCAACTTCCTCACCTTGTCTTCAAGGCCATCTCCTCCCCTTGATCTATCCTATTGGTGAAGCTTTACACAATTTTTTTTCAAATTATTTTTATTGAGCTATATCTTTTTCTCTGCTTCCCTCCCCTTCTACCCTCTCTCATGATCCCTATGCTCCCAATTTACTCAGGAGATCTTGTCTTTTTCTACTTCCCATGTAGATTAGATCCATGTATGTCTCTCTTAGGGTCCTCTTTGTCTAGGTTCTCTGGGATTGTAAGTTTTAGGCTGGGTTTTCTTTGCTTTATGTCTGCTTATGAGTGAGTACATATTATATTTGTCTTTCTGAATTAGGGTGACCTCACTCAATATGATGTTTTCTAGATCTGTCCATCCATTTGCCTGCAAATTTCAAGATGTCATTATTTTTTTTCTTCTGAGTAGTACTCCATGGTGTAAATGTACCTCATTTCCCTTATCTATTCTTTGGTTGAGGGGCAATTATGTCATTTCCAGGTTCTGGCCATGACAATCAATGCTGCTATGAACAGAGTTGACCACATGTCCTTGTGGTATGACTGAGCATCCTTTGGGTATATACCCAATAGTGGTATTGTTGGGTCTTGAGGTAGGTTGTTTCCTAATTTTTTGAGAAATCACCATATTATTATCCAAAGGGGTGTACCAGTTTGCACTCCCACCAGCAATGCAGAAGTGTTCTCTTTACCCCACATCCTCTCCAGCATAAGTTGTCATCAGTGTTTTTGATCTTGACCATTTTTACAGGTGTAAGATAGAATCTCAGAGTTGTTTTGATTTTCATTTCTCTGATGGCTAAGAATGTTGAGCATTTCCTTAAGTGTCTTTCAGCTATTTTAGATTATATAACTAATATAATTGAGGGTTCTCTGTTTAGGTCTGTACCCCATTTTTTAATTGGATTATTTGGTTTTTTGATGACCATTTTCTTGAGTTCTTTGTATATTTTAGAGATCAATCCTCTGTCTGATGTGGGATTGGTGAAGAACTTTTCCCATTCTGTAGGCTGCCGTTTTGTCTTGTTGACCATGTCCTTTGCCTTTCAGTTTTAGGAGGTCCCATTATTAATTGTTTCTCTCAGTGTCTGTGCTGCTGGGGTTATATTTAGGAAGTGGTCTCCTGTGCCAATGCATTCAAGTGTACTTTTCACTTTCTCTTCTATGCGGTTCAGTGTGGTTGGTTTTATGTTGAGGTCTTTGGTCCATTTGGACTTGAGTTTTGTGCATGACAATAGATATGGATCTATTTTTGTTCTACATGTTGATATCCAGTTATGCCAGCACCATTTGTTAAATGCTTTCTTTTTTTCAATTTTATGGTTTTTTGCTTCTTTGTCAAAAATCGGGTGTTTGGATTAATATCTGGGTCTTCGATACTGTTCCATTGGCCCTCCTGTCTGTTTTTATGCCAATACCAAGGTGTTTTCAGTACTGTAGCTCTGTAATAAAATCTGAAGTCAGGGATTGTGATGCCTCTAAAAGTTCCTTTATTTTACAGAACTGTTTTGGCTATCCTAGGGTTTTTTGGGTTTTTTGTTTTTTTTTGTTTTTTTTTTTTGCTTTTCCATATGGAGTTGAGTACCGTTCTTTCAAGGTGTGTGAAGAATTTTGCTGATATTTTGATGGGCATTGCATTGAATCTGTAGATTGATTTTGGTAAGATTACCATTTTTACTATGTTAATTCTACCTACCCAAGAACATAAGAGATCTTTCCACTTTCTGGTGTCTTCTTCAATTTCTTTCTTCAAAGATTTAAAGTTCTTATCATACAAGTTTTCCACTTGTTTGGTTAGAGTTACTCCGAGATATTTTATGTTATTTGTGGCTATTACGAAAGGTGATAATTCTCTGATTTCTTTCTCAGCCCATTTATCATCTGTGTAAAGGAGGGCTGCTGTTTTTTTTTTTAAGTTAACCTTGTATCCTGTTACATTATTGAAGGTGTTTATGAGTTGTAGAAGTTCCTTGGTAGAATTTTTGGGTCACTTATGTAAACTATCATATCATCAGCAAATAGTGAGAATTTGACTTCTTTTCTGATTTGTATCCCCTTGATCTCCTTTTGTTGTCCTATTGCTCTAGCTAGAGTCTCAAGTACTATTTTGAATAGATACAGAGAGATGGACAACCTTATCTTGTTCCTGATTTCAATGGGATCACTTTTGAGTTTCTCTTCATTTAGTTTGATGTTGACTGTTGGCTTGCTGTATATTGCCTTTATTATGTTTAGGTATGTTCCTTGTATGCCTGCTTTCTCCAAGACCTTTATCATGAAGAGATGTTGTATATTTACACAAATTTATTTGACTTTTTCTATTTTGGTTTGGTTCCCAGCTTCCTTTTGAGTTTCTCTTCCACAATGGACACTAACTTTCCTATTTCATTCAGTGTTGTATTTTCTTGGGGTACTTTTAAGAGCTTTACTTTTTATTACTTGAATATATTTATAATCCTTACTTTAGGTTCTTTTTCTGGAATTCCGTCTAACTCATTAGCATTGGAGGCTATTTCTGTAGGATTAATTTCAGAAGGAGTTGGATTTCCTTGATTTTTCTTTATTCTTTGTCTTCATGAAAGGAGGAACCAGGTCATTTGTTGAATTTATTGTGTTTTATTTCTGATTTTTATTCTTTCAGAGCAAGTATTTAAACTGTTGCTAATGCCCTAGGTTATCGTTGTCCCTGGAGGGAAGGTAGGAAGGGGCAGTGGATCTTGGGGGCCTACTAAACTCACCTGGGCAATGGGTGGGACTAGAGCCTCTTAGGTACTCTGTTCTTACTGGAGTGATGGGGGGCACTGAAGCATCCTGGACACATTAACCTCACAGGGTTACTGGGACGGCTGTGCTCTTCCAGGCAGTATATGTGGCAGGGTCTGAAGTCCCGACAGCACTGGGGGCAACGGTTTGGACTTAAGCTTTCTAGATACACTGTGCTCATCAGAGCGCTTGAGGCTGCAGCCTCTTGAACACACCTCATTGCATTGACACATGGGGTAGAGACAACCTTGGGCAGGCAGGACTTGAGACACACAGATGTACAGCCCTCACCTGGGTAACAGGTGGGGCTCAGCCCTCTCAGGCATGGAGTCTCCTCGGGAGAATGGGCAAGTGAATGGGTGGCCCTATGTATTACTGAAGTCTCAGTCCGCCATGGGAGATGGCATCCCATCTAGGAGTTAGCCACATAGATGGAAGTCCTGGAAATCTTGTGAATTAATAGTTCTTGTTAATTTAAATTCTTCAACCACCAAAACTAAGTTTGGCATTAATTACTTTTGAAAAGTCGTCTTGGTGTAAACCAGTTTTTATAACAAATGCTCTCTTCCAGAATTCATCTGGATTCTTCTATAGCTCTAGTCAAGTTCGTAACATTATACAGCAAAGATTTGAGAAAATATTTTACTGAATATGAAATTTCAGAGTTAATCCAGAAATCTCAGGGCTAATCCAAAAATCTAAGCCTAAACTAGGTTTGAAAAAAGTAAAGGCTTTGGTATGACTTGGCCATACAATGTCTCCCATAGGTTAATGTGTTTGAGTAGTGGGTTTTCAGCTCAAGGCATGGTTATAGGAGGTTATGGAACTTTTAAGCGTTTGTACTTTGAACTGTGAGGTAGTGGTGTATGCCTTTAATCCCAACACTAGAGAGGAATATAAGGCAGGAACTCTCTTTCAGTCTGAAGATTTCATAGAGGTAAGAGCTCTCTAGTGACTTGGCTGTTTTGCTTTTCTGATCTTCAGGTTGAACCCCAATATCTGTCTCTGAGTTTTTATTATTTGTGTTACATGCAATAGCTAATTTCTCATTAAAAAAACATCGGGTCTATTATATTTTTTGAGACAAGGTCTTACTCCATCGCCCAAATTTTCCAGGAGCCAGCATACTGTACTCTAGAGTGACTTTAACTCAGTAATCCCCCTGCCTCAGCTTCCTCTGTGCTGGGATTGCATTCTGCCTAGCCTTTTAAAGACAAAGTTGTAATGTGACAATCCCACCCACAGCTTAAAATAATGAAGGGGGCTCTTTAAAATGTCCACCCTCCCGCTAAACTCTAGCCCTCATTCACTCCAAGTTCCTTCTACCTCCACCCCATCCTCTTGCCTTCCTAATTCTCCTGCCCAACCCTTTTCTGCCTTGGGATGTGAGTGGCTTCGATCAGACTTTGAGCATGCCTATTGAGGCTACCTTCATGCTGGGGCCTGTGATCTTCATCGTGTTGGAGACTGCAGCCTCTGACGACAAATGGCAGATGGTGATCCTCCTTCCGCTCCTGAGATGAAGTGGCCACTTCCTCCACCTGGGAAGACACTGTAAAGGTACCCGGGGTATTGGGAATCAGTGTCATACATACCCCCAGTGTATGGTGTAGTATGGTTTATCATATTTATGATATTTATGTATTAGTAGTTATGGTAGAGTATTTATAGTACAGCAGAGTATACTGTTACACTGTACAGTAAGTAGTGTCTAGTAGACTGCTTGTCTGATTGCTATTCAGTTTTCCTTGTAAGTGACGAACTTCTTAGTTTAACTTGGTATATAAATACTGCATTAATAATGTCACATAGCATCCCACTGCTTGTTGAAATGAATTAGAAATCTAAGATTCATCACTAAAATATCACTTTATTGGTAAAAATAATCCCCAAATAATAGACAACTTGGAATACCACATAGGCTCACATTTTTAGCTTCTTTGAGCCAAATAAGAAAAATTGTAACATGTTTTAGCATAAAAATCAATTTATTATACAACAATCACACAGAATTCTTTTTATCTAAAAGAAAAATGGCTTCTGCCTCCCTTTCTCCCCAGTCATGATACTGTGTTCTTTAGATGCAGTACTTTCAAAGGAAAACAAAAAGGAAAACCCTCAATTTTCAAAGTGCATGTACTTTTGTTCTCATGAATAAAAGGTAATTTACTTGGGAAAACCATTTTATCAGATTACAGAGATAGACATTTTTATACTTCTATTTTAGAAAATTCGCACTAAAAATAAATGGGTTAAAATATTTATCAGATCCCATTTTGCAGCTTAGGTTTCTTAGCTCTGCATGTCTTGCTGGCCCTTGAGTGGTTTAAGGCTTAGTGTTGTACGGAGCTTTGTTCTGGAAGGATTAAAGCTGGCTGGTTCTTTGAGCTGCCGTTATTGAAGTGCTGTACAGAGATGGTGTCCTCTGTGCTACACAGATGAAGCTGTGCAGACATCTCAGCCGCAGGTGTGATGCACAGTGAGACTTCAGTGCCTCACTCGCAAGTAAGAGCAACATGGGTGCAAGGACCAGTGACACCTCTTCTGCCTCATTTTTACCCAGAATTCATTTCGGTAACAGATTTGGAACCACGTTTGAGAAGTAAAACTGAACTTCAGTTTCACCATGGAGGTTGCTCCTTTGATTAACTTGTGTCTTGTCACAGAACAGTCCCATACTCAGCTGACCCTTTAAATGAATTCTTAGGAAAGAAGAATATGCTTGTTTAAGTCTAAGTCACTGGAAATGGTCGTTAAGCACCTGGGAGTTTGGGAAAATGAAAATCCCGTAAAAATACATTGACAGGAAGAATCTGATCAACAGGATGGCAATAGTGGATGCACAGGACTGTGGTGCTCACCAAAATACACCACTGAGAAGGGCGTGTACTTATGAGTTTAAAAAGTCAGCACAGTTTTTATATAGGGAAAAGTTAAAATGGGTGCTTGCCCAGGAAGGGAAGACAGGGGTGGGCAGGCACTATCGTTGGCACTTAAGAAAAGCCTACCATGTGCTAGATGCCAGAGCCATGACCCAAGTACATATTTGCTAAAATGGAGAGATCATAGAGTCCAAGTTACTAAGTCATGTTTTGTGTAAGCTTTAGAAAATGTACTGTTTCATGCTTGGTACAGTTTAACTGTGGTGCTCGGTCCATCAGCTGTAGGATGACCTGAAGGAAATGACCTGGGCCTTGGTCTGCCTCTGTACTGGCTTCTCAGCAGAGACCATGGTTCTGATCAGAGAAAGCATGTGCTTGGCCAGACACATTTTCACTGTGCCTTATTCCCAGCCCACAGGAGCTTTCCAAATGACTACATCCTTTTCTGTTTTCTGAAACGTAAACTTAGGAAGATTATATATAGCAACTACTTGGGATAATATTCATGAGTAGGTTCAGAAGCAACGGTTGACAAATGTGAGGTCTCTTTTGTCCCTGGGGCCCTGCTGATTATGATTTATAAGTAGTCCAGTTGCATTTCTGTGCCAGGGAGAGCTGTACTTGGACTCCAGCCTTTGTTTAGAAAAAGCCTGGCAGCTTTTGATATGTAACTCTATGAATCCAGACTAGCAAGGGAGATAGACAGGAATGTATGAATGACGAAGTGAATTGAAACAGAGCTAGCTCCTGCTGAAAGCCCCTGAGTTATGACCATTTGGCAAAAAGGATTTTTTTTATGGTTAAGACAGGGTCTTCTTGTGCCCATGTAGCCCAGGCTATCTCAATACCCAAACACTTGGAATCACAGGTATATGCTACCACACCCAGCTCAAGTTGTTTACAGAATGAGTAATCTTTAAACTGTGTTGATGATGAATCTCAGTACGACATCACTAAATTTAGACTCAGAGTGGTTAAAAACTGTAGCAGACTCCCTGACTAGAGAGGAGAGGTGATGCTAGATTCTGTCCTTTGCTAAGGATCCCATTTAAACGCTTCCTAGGGTTGATGCCTTAAGGAGCAAGTGGATTGATTATCAATTTATGCACTGACAGTTATTGCTTGACATGGACTAGAGCAGACCCTGGCGTTTATAATATAATTAACATTTTATTTTACATATTTAATCTAAAGAAAATTAACTCTGAAGACTTGCTGTGAAAACAAAGCCCATGTCTCCTGGTTTTCTGCGTGAATAAGGCATTACGAAGAGCTCAGGAGAGGGGGTGCTGCACCTGTTCTGAGGTTTGTAGAGGTCGGCATCGTTTCAATTAATAGAGTAACCTAATAGCAATATATTATAATACATTCTTGGTACAAATGATTTACAAACTCAAAAGGAATTAGTTTATGCTAAAACATACAACTTTCAATTCAGTCTTTGCTCTAAAACAAGCTCATCTATCCGGCGGGCTGCTGCACTGTGTGCGTCTCCCATCTCTTCATTGCACCTTCTTGTCTCTCACACCGTTAGCCGCAGTCAAGAGGGCTTTGGGCAAACCGTTCTTCACCTCTTTCCCTGAAGGTTGCTCGTGCATCTCTTTCTTCACTGGCTTTTTCCGGTATGTCTGTCAGAGTGTAGACAGGAGAAAAAGCAGAGAAGATGTTTTGATAACGCAATGTCTCCAACTCTCTGATGTAGCATGCAGTTAAAAAGCACTACACAGTTTTCCTTGGCACTGGGCCTTCTAATAATAATTTGTTTTTAAGCCTCTTGCTATAAAGCTCAGGCAAAAAACAAGGCAAATACATGAATGTCAGTATAAGTCATTTCACTTTATCTGTGTTACACCATAATTTGCTTAGCATTCAAAGCAGCTTATATTATTCACTTGGAAAATATAACTTCCTTTAAAATTCAAGATAAAAGGAGCTGTTATTTTGAGATTGTAATTACAACATCACCTGGTTCTGGCAGGGTTTTTAAATGTCCTCTGTTGTGCTGAAGATGTATATTAAAATGTCATCTGTCACAGAACTCCAGCCCTGTATGGTCCTCTCTTTCATTCTGATGAAAAACCTGATCTGTCATTCTGTCATCTTTCTTCCTTCCTTCCTTCCTCCTATCTATCTATCTATCTATCTATCTATCTATCTATCTATCTATCAAGACAGGATCTCACTCAGCCCATCCATCCATCCATCCATCCCTATATGGTCCTCTCTTTCATTCTGATGAAAAACCTGATCTGTCATCTCCTTTCTTCCTTTCTTCTCCCCCCCCCCCCCCCCCCGTCTCTATCTATCGAGACAGGATCTCACTCAGCCTGCCTGCCTGCCTGCCTATCTATCTATCTATCTAATCTAAATAATCTATCAAGACAAGATCACACTATCTATCTACCACAGGACAAGATCTCTCTCAGCCCAGGCTGGTCTCCAACTTGCTATATAGATCACAATCACCTTGAACTCTTGATCTTCCTGTCTCTACCCCTTCAGTGCTGGCATAACAGCATTTTCTCTTTTTAAAAAGCAATAATGGCATTAACAAGAGTCAAGACTAGAACAGTGTAAAGTCAGAGCTAAGATTCAGTCTCAACCAGTATATAGAGATAGTTTTCATAGCCCTTGCCTACCACTGCTGGGCTACCCTGAGCCCATGCCATTCCTTTCGAGTCCTGGTGTGCATGTACGGATCAACGGTTTGGTTCCACCAATGTGTCTTTCTTTAGACATCCTCGAAGGAAACTGATCTTTTACAAGGAGCAGAGGCCAGCAGTCCAGTTCAGAAACACACACTCTGCAGAGCTGTCACAGGCCCCGTTCCCACAGCGAGCCTTCACATCAAACCACTATCAACAAAAACTTAAAAATGAGAGCAATTATCTGGAGAAGAAAATACAGTTGAATAGAATTTCAAAAGTATGGCTTGAATATAAATGATGGTTTTTCTTTTTTGTGTGAAGCAGCCTTTCTACTTCCCTGGCCCTGCCATTTAAAATGTACAACCATCTGAGACTTTGCTGCCACAGCCTACACAGGCTCTTAAAGTCACTGTGAAGGACTCTCTCATTGAAATTGTTAATTGAAAGGAGAATATCATTTGCTTGACAAAGAGCGAGCCAGCATGCCCTGTCCATGCTGGGTTTGCCTTAAAAGAATTTCCTCAAATGAACACTGTCTCCATATGTCAGAGCAACTAATGGAGGCTTACTAAATACATTATTAAACACTAACCACTATTGTTCCTAAGTTTTTCTCCACACAAGCTCCCTGGGTCTGTGCTACTACACCTGTTCAGCTTTCTGACGTCAGATTTGGGTGGCCATGGGGCAAATACACATGTAGATATAATGTAACTCAGTCTTTCAGAGCGAGCTCTCAGCAAAGATCACCTGGACTGTGAGCTGGCTGTTCTTGGAGGAGGATGTGGGGGAAGGGTTAGGAACTTGCCCTTTACTTCCTCCTCTGCATACTGTTATCTTGAAGGCACAGTGAGTGCACTGGGGCAGCTAGTCACTTACCCCTGAACGTCTGCATCTTACATACCTGAACATAGAAGTTTAGGAACAGGATAACCAGTGTCATCATATAGGAAGACTGGAAGATGAGACAGCCAAAGGGGAAGCCGCAGGGCTTGACCACAGCACTGAGTGTGTGCGTGATGGTGAGCACAAACTGCACCTGAAAGGCAGAGGCCGCAGGTGAGAACAGGTCCTGCGGGAGGTGGGCCCCATGGCTCTGCAACATGGCTACTGTCTCTTGCTATATTCTGCAGAAGTGAACCAAGAAAAATGCCTCAGTAGTCCACTACCCCGCTCAGAGACTTTATTTGAAGTTATGTAAATATAGAAATTTGTCTATTTTCTCATTGAAAAGTAGCAGTTAGATTTTGATAAAAAAATGATCGAATTTGTACATTAACCAAAAACTGTTTATGTATATTTCAAACCAGAAAATTTCCATTTAGAAGCTAATTGCAAACACACAGATGCTATAATGGCAAAGTATGATTCTTCAAGGCCACGTTAAGATAAGTCAGACTAGTCACAGAGCCTGAGCTGCCTATTCCTTCCCTGTCAGAGCCACGTGGAGAAGCAAAGAAAGAACAGCATACCAGTTGAGCCTGTGTGAGGTATTTCTTCCACCAGAGGTACTTGTGCATGGACGGGAACACAGAGAGGCCGTAGTAGGAGTACATGAGGATGTGAATGAAGCTGTTCAGGGTTGGGCCAAAGAAGCCTAGGACAGTGGAGTGTATGAGTTAGTTCTCCCAGAAAGTGAGGCTCTCATCGTTATGTGATGGTCTCTGTCCTGACTGAAAAGTGCTAACGGGTATAGACAATCACGCAACAGCATCACATGGAGAGATCCCCAGCTGCTACCATCATTCCAGGATTCAGTACAACCTCCTCCACAGAGGTGTAAACCCAGAGAGATGTTCAGCCAATCAAACCAGCTACTCCGTATTGCAAAGGGCTTACTGTCACTACAGTGGTTGTTCTTCCCAGCTAATCAGGGAGGCAGAGAGAGGTGAACTTGAGTCTGGCTGCAGAATCCCACTAAAGGAGAACTGACTTTTCCTTCCCTAAACCTTGATTAAACCATACTGGTGACAGAGCCTCCTGTGGCCGGAGGAGCAGCACCACCTTTGCCTAGTAGTTTATGTTGTCTTGAATGTGCTGTGCAAGCTATCTTCTCATTTGAACCCACTGGAAGCTGTGGTGGAATTGAATGTACTGTGCATGAACTAAAGAACACTACCTACTACGTCTCAGTCAATTTAGCCTCCATCTCACTCTACGTTAGTAACCTAGATAACTGGGAAACAAAAGGAACAGCGTGATGCATACAGTAAGTTTTCAGCAAATACTGGCCAGTATGTGCTAGGACGCTTGGGTTTCTATGGAAACAAACACTTTGAAGTACTCAGCAGTGCAAGATGAGTGACATTTAATGCTCATCTGGGTTCTCATTTCTGAGTAGCTCTGTACTTATAATTTGTCATCATCTTGGAGATATGGCCCACAAATATTCACAGGACCATCTCTGAATTGTGCAATTGAATTTTAAATGTCTAATGAAACTATTAACACTGAAAAAAATCCTCAAACGCCTGCTCCTCTGACACTCACTCATCTTCCTCCACGTCCACAGGGAGCCTGTCATGAGTCAAAGGCCATCTGTCTTCTGTGCAGTTTCTTCCCTTGCACTACAGTTTTCACTTGACAGCCAGGGATAGCATGCAACTCAGTGATGGGTCTACTTCAAGATCTTTCAACTTAACGACAGGATCAAATGATAGACATTTGGCGGAAGCCATACTTTGAGCCTTGACTGCTGGCCTCTAGTAGCAGTGGTCTAGCGCTCTCTCTGGATGGTGGGTGACATAGGGCACCCAGGAGATGAGGCCACTTCGCACATGTCCTGTACTGCGGCTGTGGGGTGCTCAGCAGGCTAAGCACATCACATAAGCCCAACTCCTAAGAAAAATACAGTGTGTGCCACCACACCCATTTTAAGCTTTCTCCGAGTCACTCAATTGGACCTGGTTTTGGGGTACCAGTGACGGAGCGTCCTTGTACATACTAAGCCAGTGCTCTACTGGTGATTACACACTCAACTCTAAAATCCTTTTCTCCTGTTTTGTCCTAATCTTTGCTTTTTTTTTTTTTGAGACCGGATTTCACCATAGTTTTAGAGCCTGTCCTGGAACTAGCTCTTGTAGACCAGGCTGGCCTCAAACTCAGAGATCACCACCACCACCCAGCTTGTCCTAATTTTTCATAGAATATTTTCAAATTCATGGGTACATGGTTTAAATAAAAGCACTGTTCTCTTTAGTTCACACGGGAGCATCCTACCCACTCACTATGGGCTGTGGAGTCAATGTAAGCAGAGGTCATCAACTGCTTATAGTCATCATAAAGCAGGGTCAAAACAAGACAGCACAGTGTTCCAGCAAAGCCAGGGTCAACACAACCCACAGAGCTGCAGCTCCATCCAAAGTATGTGGTATCAATGAGCACACTAGTTTATTCCATGTATCATGTATATGGTGTACACAGGCAGACATGAACGTGTGCTCTAAGACAGGAGGATCCAGCCATGCTGCAGCTCCTCCTACACCAGTCTGCTAAGTGCCAGGACTACAGGTGTGCACATCACATCTGGTTTAAAATCTCTTTCTTTCTGGAGTTCTCATTTCTAAAAAAGGCGAAAGCTGTTTGCTTTGGTGCAGAGAGCGCTTAGTTTTCAGAACGTGAAGTCGAGACTCCCTAAGAGCTGAAATGATGGATGTGTATTACGTGAGGTGGTGGCTGTGGCAGGTGCTGTCTGAAGTGGCAAGGGTTGCCTTCTATGAAGTCAGGTGGCTCTGGCCAAGGCCTGTGCCTCTCTGCCCATCTGACAATTGGTGCAATTAAAAAAAATATTTTTTTTTAATTTAAGGTCTTGCTCAGATTTTTCCAACATAAAAATCCAGAAACCAAATAAGCTACCGGCAAATGTGCTTTCTGTGGTGCCAAGGGCACCACTTTAGGGGTCCCCATCGCTCCTAATCAGCGCATACTGGGTAGACTAAGAGGTGCAGCGGTGCTCTTGTGGGACTCGTATCACAGAACCATGAGTTAGCAAAAGACTTACTTTGACCACAAGGTATCCAGTTCAGAACACACCACCAGATGTTAAACATCGAGGCGTGGTGATAGACATGAAGAAAGGTGATCTGACTGGTCTTTTTTCGAAGAACAAAGAAAATCGTGTCCAGGAACTCCACTAGTTTGGAGAAGTAGTACCACCACAAGACCTTGGCTACCTACAACAAATTCAAGAGGGAAAAGGTGACAGTGTCCCCTACCCGGGGTACCCCCGCTCTGCCCCTTGCACAGCATCCTGCCTCCCCCTGTGCTTCCTTCAGACTGCAGAGTGCTGCTTCTCTGCTCTCTCCCTCCAGTTTCTTCTCATTCCATGCAATCTACCCTCTCAGCTGAAAGACGGGGTACTGTTCCCAAACATGCGTCCAATCGTGGTTCTGTTCATCATTCCCCACCTAAGGACAGGCTCTTCTGCTCCTTTCCATCAGCATCCTGTAGGGCTTCTATGTACCCTAAAAGCGGTCTCTTCAGCCTGTGTGGGCACTGAATCTCCCTCCTGCCTATGTCAAACACTCATCCTGCCTCGGATCACATTTTAAATGTGCCTCGGATGGCACATTTTAGTGCATGGTGTGAATCACAAGTGGATGCTCTCTTGCTCAGGTGACGTTTTACAAAGAGATACATCTTGTCTCTGATTCTACTGTGATTTACATATTTTTCTCTGGTAGGGAATTTTCCCTCCTTGTGTATTTGGAAATTCACATAGAAAGACATGTTTAATTATTTTCCTTAATTTCTGCAGTGACTTGGTGCAGCAACCTTTGAAAGGGAGCAGTGAGACTCCTTTTCTTTTTAAGATATAATCTCCCGTCATCCTTTTAAAACCTGCACTCCGTGTGTTTCTGCTCATTGCAGGCAGTGTTCTTTCTGTGTCCTGGATAGTCAGTGAGAGGGAGTCTTTCAAGGTGGTTCCTGTAACCACGTATAACCCCAATAGTCATGCATAGCTCCTTTGCTGAGGGCCACAGCTTCATCCTAAACACACTCCCTATCCCTTATCGGGAGCTGGCCTTGCCCCTGAGAACCCTCCTCCCTTCTGGTAGATAGCAACTCTGTAAAGTCAAGCTCAGCATCCTGGGCTGTCACAGACTAAAGGGGCCTTTTCTACAGGTAAGACAGATGAAATAGGGTCTCTTCCATAAGGTTCATCATGACATTTCTAATTTACATCTATGATTACTGGGTTTAATTTTCACTACTTTGTGCCTCACTGATAAAAGGTACCAAGCCACATAGCTAACACAGACATTATGGGCTAATATAAGTTAAAAGTGTTAATAAGAAACCTGAGCTAATAAGCCAACCAGTTTATAATTAATGTAGACCCCTGTGTGTTTCTTTAGGGCTGAACAGCTGTGGGACCAGGTGGGACAGGAACCTCTGTCAATGAATGGTGTCAACGTGGACAACTACATCCGCATAAACCTGAGAGAACTTGGGGAGTAATTCTAGACACAAAATAACAGAGTAAGCATGGCTTCTTGGTAGCATTTTCTCAGGTGGGATCTTATTGCAAATGCACCTAATTTAAGAGAGGCTTCCTGATTCAGCTTTAGAAGCAAAAACCTTACAGCTCTTTTAAGAGGCCCCACCACCAAACACTTAAATAGTGTTTATGAGTAGCCAACAGCAGGCTTCTTGACGTGTCTGTCACTAAGGCTTTCCATCAGACCCAGAAGCTCTCTATGTAATCCCAGATTCTAGCTGTACAGGGGAAGGAAACATGTCTCAGGACTCACCCGGATGTCACCTTCTCCTGCACTGTCCAGATTCTGACACTGCAGGTTGTAGCCTCCTTCCCAGCTGGAGAGGATGAGCTGCCAAAGCATGGAAGAAGGGAAAGAAAATCAACACAAGAATGTGACAGTGTTCAACAGTCTGACCAGCTTCTGCTCAGAGTGGGGGCAGAAGTGCCCAGGATCTGACTGTTTGTCCTCAAGCGTCAGCGAGGGGCTAGCTCCTGCTGCTGCACAGAAGCCAGGCTCCTGTCCCTCCACACACTGCGCTTCTAACCATTCAGACCAGAGCTTCCATAACTTTAGTACAAATTAGTGAGCTGTCTTAGAATTATAAACAAATGGAGGAAAACTACACTAAAATATTGTCTCAATAAATTTATAAAACATGCATTATAATTTTATAGATGTTAAAGGGCGTCAGAAAGTTCTTAAAACATGCTCTTCACTGTATCTGTGCTACTTGATAATCAAACTGTGTGATTGACACCTACCTTCCCCATTATTCTCTAATAAAGAGCTGCCACTTTTTAAAAGCCCATCATCTAGCCACCCTTGTCCCACTCCCAGGCGGTCCGAGCACCAGTAGTCCCTGATGAGTGGCTGCTGCTCCGGCTGCACAGCTAAGGAGTGGTGGCATCGTCACTACAACTCAGAGCTCCTGACTCATTCTTTTCTAGTCTTTCTATGACAAGAGAAAACAAAACTATTAAATTCCTCATTGAAAATTCCTCTAAAGTGGCTCTCTCCCTGCAACAATGTAAAATTCTAGAATATAAGGTTTTTCCAGGCAAATGCCTAGAACTTACTTCTGCCCTTACAATACTGATAACTAATGTTTGGAAGCTTGGGTTCCTCTTCACAGTTCTGATGAAGTTCGAGTATTTCTTGTCTAACAACACCAGCTTTAGGTAATGTAAATATAACTGAAGGTTCTGAGGACAAATGAGTCCAGTGAAAGCAGAACATTTGGGATTTCCCAATGTACTCCTGTCTTGAGTCAGGTCTCAGCAGCCTCCTGGGCTTTACGTTCCTGTCCTAAGCTCCCCACTTGTGGCATTTTGGGGGGGGAGGGGTGCTGGTACATTTTTTTTAGACTAAGAAAGATATGTTGCCCATAAATACAACTGAATACATCTGCAGGATAAAAGCTGTACTTGATGGGTTAAGCATATATTTTCTATAGTAACAGTACAACTGTGGGGTAACCCCTTAGTGAACAGGGTAGACTCTGTTTGCCCAGGGCATGTCCTGTATTAAGCACATTTTTCAGGCTGTCGCCAGTTCTGTGGTACCTATCTAACCACATAGTAACTGTGTAGCAGAATTAAGCAGCAAGCCTTAGAAAGCTGCCTTCTGGTCTATTCATAATCCTCTAACTGGGTTACATACCAAAGCCATCTAACCTTTGTACTGAAGGAATTAAACAAGGTTGTCAGTAAGATTAACGTGAAGCTACTGTGGACTGAATAACTCTAAAGCTCACTTAGAATCCACCTAACCCAGCTACTTGCAGCTGCAGCCCGTGAAGCTGTGCGCTCAGTCTCCTGGGACACTGATTCCAGCCTTGCTCCTCATCAACAAAGGTCTTTTTCCTTTCAGTCTTGTGAAGAAGCTAAATCTAACTGAGTGTGGTTACACACATCTTTAATCCCAGTACTTGGGAGGTGAATGGATCTCTGTGAGTTCATGGCCAAACTGGTGAGTTCCAGGATGTCAGAGCTACATAAAGAAAGCCTGTCTCAAGAAAAAAAGAAACTAAACCCATGCTTTATCTGGCCAGCTCACACCTAGCATGCTAAGCACACTTTAGTGAAGAACCTAGAACTGTCTTTTAGTGTCAGAAAACTTAGTGTGTCACCTGTGATGTGATGCTGAAACTTTACATGGCATTCCTCATCACAAATCCTTCCCATCAACGCTTTGTTTTGGTCACTATGGCAACAGCTAATGGCCATTATTAAAATGGTGCATACTAGCTAACACATGAATTAAAGTCAGGGTAAGAAAGCAACATTTTTAGATAAAGATTTGCAGTCTTTTAAAATTTAAAAACAGCAGGAAAAAAGTCCTGCTTATGTCATTACTAGCCATTTGTAACCTTTATGGATGGTTTTATCCTAATTTTCCCTTAAAATAATTGTTTTTGTCCCTTTTATTCCTTTATTTTTGCCAAAGGGAGTTGAATACTACTCTAGATTTCTCTTTGTATTATGACAGGAACTTTTGGTTGTTTTAGGCAAAGCAACCATTTTACTTCTTCCTGTGGTTCAGTGCTTCAAAGGGTTGAGTCAAAAACCTGGTAGGCAGTTAGAGCCAACACATGTCAACTCAGGCTTTCTAGCAGTCTAGACTGGGTGGGACTCTCCCAAGGAACATCCGCATCTCTGTACACTAACTGCATGGAAATCATTTAATGCATTTAAGTCAGGATCATAAGGTATGAAAGAGAAGAAAAGTATGCGACACGGTCTTCAAAAGGCCTTTCAAACTAAATCATGGTTATAGCTTTAATTTGGCTAAGAACTACAGAAACAGGCCTGCATTCAAGTCAGAAACAAGCACTTTGGCCTCTTTGGAAAGGAAAAGGAAGAGGACCAATGTGTGAACAGCTTTCTCGGGTTCTTACAGAGGGTTCCATGGTGGACACAGGTCTGGAAAGCTGCACCTGACCAGTTCTCAAATCAAACACTCACAGCAATACACACTCACCTCCACCAGCATATATGCAGAAAGAAGTGTGATTCCGAGGTTATACAAGGTAAGGATTCCCCTGAGAGAAAGAGCAGGCCTGTTCTTCATGTATTTGTTACCCAGCCATATTGAGAGCAGGTATATAATGGTAAGAATGAAGGTTGGGAGATAAGAGTCCAACAGGAACCACCCTCGAACTCGAGAATCTGGAAAGAAATGCATAAGGTGAGGATCCCGAGGGGCAAGGCTCCCATGTTAGCAACACTGACACATGCTCGTCCATGGCGGCAGGTTCCAGGGTCCCCGGTGGATAGTGGTTTCCTGTCCTCACTCACCATTTGAGATGCATTCACATACCAGCTCAAGCATCTTCTCCCTAAGCAAATCCACAGACACCCTGGTTCTTTCTCTAGACCTCAGCAACCTCAGCATTGGGATTTTTCTGACTAAGTTGGGAACAACCACCTTTTCACTTAAAGGAGGAAGTTTATGGTTTTCTTTTCAGTAACCAAATTGCCAGTACCATTGCTCTTGCATCTAAGTAAAGCTTTGATACAAAGCCCTATGCTACTGCATAGTTTCCATAACCAGAGAGATAGCAAATGACTAACGGTTGGGTAGATACACATGGAAATACTGGACAAAGGGAAAATCCAAGTTCCAGACAGGACAGAGAGTTCATCATTCTACTCAAAACAGTATATAATTTTAAACACACAAATAGTTACTTCTGGAATTTTCCATTTAATTTTTGGGACTTTAGTAGATTGTGGGTATCAGAAACTACAAGAACAAAACCTCAGATATGATGCTGAGTTAAGCACCTATAATCTTTATTGTTTGTCATGCTGCCATCCATACATGATCATAACTGCTGCAACTAAAACATGGGATCAAGTGTTCCTGTATTGTTTCTTTGGTACCTGAATAAATAGTGTTACTCTTCGTCTGTGTCTGGCATATCCCACAGGCTACCGATAGGACGATAATAAGATCAGAAAAGGTTAGGGATGCTGCTGAGATCACTAGTTGTGACAGTCACTGTAAGTGTAGGTGGCCTTTAGGAAGGGACAAGGATCTTGATGGGACTGTAGTAAACCGATTCAGTGGTCAGAGTGTTGGTTTTCTAATCTCGCTGCTACAAAGGGAGGATCCACTAGATGGCTGCACACGGTGAACAACTGCAATCTCCCCGTAACCAATCCCATGTGTCTACATTCATTCCAGCTCCCACTAACCTACTGACAGCAAAGTTTAGTGTGAACTTAGTTCACGGAGATCAAAGTTTAACTCTCTGCTGAGAGAAACAGAAAGCCGTGGTCCCCAAGAATTCACGGCTCCAATGGCATCCCGCCTAAGAAAGAGGCCATGCCCTCTACTCTGGGCCAGTTCTTCCTCACCTCAATAGAGTTGTAAGTAGGGAATGCAGAGATTATGGACAGACACTGCTAGCCCACCACAAAGGTCCTCAAGGGGAAAGAAAGGAGAACTCCACCCAAACTGCAGTTCCTATTAAAATAACAGAAGTCACCATTCACTTAGACTAGGTCTCAGAGTCTCAGTGAAAACTGGGAAGAGATCCAAATAATGTCCAAATTTATGTAAAGGCTGTGAGAAGTGGGAAGATCGCAGTCCCTCCTTCCTGTCTTTAGTTTTGAGAAAACCGCTTGTAGAAACCAAGGATTTCCCACAGGCCTGTCAAACAATCAGGCTCAAGTGAAGTAAAATATTTGTCCTATCTAGTGAGAATATCAGTCCTCTGTCCCCAGAGCTGTTTGTGCCCTGTGACAGTCGGCAAACAGGATCATGGCTCCTGCTTTTAAGAGACAAGCAGCCATAGGAAGCCTGTGCAGGACAGAAATGGGGAGACTAGAGTAACGAGGTGCAATAGAGAGGAAACCACCCAAGAGAGCCCACAGCTGGTGTCTCCAAGCGAAGGAGCTGACCAGAGAAGAAAGAGGAGGACATAGCAGAAAGAAATTCCAGGCATAGGGAAATGGCAAACAAAACAAATTTACATGAGGAGTCAAAAGATGTCTGCAGTGGCTGTGTCCATGTGAGTAAGGAAGACGAGCTTTGGCTAGAGGCTGACAGGTGATGGAGAAAGCAAAGGGACCACTAGGGTTCATAGCTGATACCTTGGAGAAAATTTACATTTCACCTGCCCCTCCAGCCCAGGAGACACAGCGAGGCAGACGAAATGAAGTCTGTTATTCAGGGAAAGGGGCACCTTGTGCAAGGCAGTTTACAGTCCATAAGGACAGATGGCACACACTGTTTCCAGAACCCCAGAGACAGCAATCCTTTCCTACAAGCAAATGGTATTCTTCCTGCATGTTCCCAAGCAGGCCACTTACCTCGTGGTCCAAACATGTTGTCCAAGAAAGCATTAACTTCATTATCAAAGGCCTTCAGATGCTCCTAAAAGAGAGGGGATAGATTAAGCAGGTTTTTCCTTTTTTAAACTCTCAAGCCACCATCACCAACCTGTAGCTGCTAAATGGGTGGGGGCCTCAGCTTGCGGGAATATGACTACAGACTTTAGAGTGGCCAGGGAGCACAGCCTTGTCGTACCCAGCTTGCAAAGACTGTGGAGGAAACAACCCCTCTTGTGTCTCTTCAGATAAGAAGAGTCCCAAAACAGATGGTGGATTCAGACGGGGTCACACGCCTCAATTCCAGTCACCTCTAGAATGCTTACTGGCCAACCTGTTCCCTAAGCAGCTACCGGGGTTGTCATGAAAGCTGCTGCAGGGAATGGGGAGTCTGTGTCTATAGGACATAAACAGTTCTCAGCAGGGACTCAGCAGATCTCTACTTAGCTTTTAAGGAGGCTTGCTTTTCCAGTCTGGACAGAAAGTGAACATTATATGGAGCTGTTTTCTATTCCCTTTATGTTTGCACATCAGCACCAATTAACAGTAAAGAATGTTACCTGGGTGTCCTGGGTTAGTTCTTGTCATACAAACTCAGACTGGGGCAAGCTGTTGCTAGGCATCCTATCGTGAACACATTGGCTACCACCATCCTGCCCTGCCCCTGCCCTTGCCTGTCTGCCCAGAACAGTCTCCTACCCCTACACAAAGTCTGGAACACCTTTTCAAGCAATGGGGGAGGGGTGAAGACTGAGCAGGATCCAGGATTCTGGGCAGGAATTTCAGGTGAAGACTTTGGTGACTGCAAGTGTGATGGCCTCACGACAGCCTCATGTAGAATGAGCTCCAGATGCATAGTGGAGTGTCATGACCCCCATAGCACCTCCTGCTCAGACTCTCTGACAGGCCAGGCTCAGGAGAACTGAGGCTCTGGCATCTGAGGCTTGGGCTGTTGACACCTAGTACTATTCACTCTTTGATCCTAAAATTTCGAGACAAAAGATGGGTCTTTAGTACCTTGAGGAAGCTTGGGAGGGAGGCTGGGGAGTAGATGGCACTCATGAGCAACCCACTCTAGCCAGCCAGTGAGTTAGGGACTTTATCTTTCTGATTTCATAACATCCCTGTAAAAAGTGTTTTGCTAAGTCAAGCCTGACTCTGGAGACCACTGTTTTATCTTTAGCTTCCATGTGGGGCATCTCAGAACTCCAGACTTGAGAAAGGGCAGTGGCGTGACATCTTGGAGGAACAGAATGTCAGCTGTATGGCTGTTGATGCGCAGGTCTGTGCCAGACACCCCATTCTCCAACAGATAAGAATATTAACCTCACTGTCACTAAGACAAAAAGACAACCCACTGACTGGGAGAAGATCTTCACCAACCCTGCAACTGACAAAGGTTTGATCTCCAAAATATATAAAGAACTCAAGAAACTAGACCGTAAAAGGCTAATCAACCCAATTATAAAATGGGGCACTGATCTGAACAGAGAATTCTCAACAGAAGAACTTCAAATGGCCAAAAGACACTTAAGGTCATGCTCAACTTCCTTATCGATCAGGGAAATGCAAATCAAGACAACTTTAAGATACCACCTTACACCTGTCAGAATGGCTAAAATAAAAAACACCAATGATAGCCTTTGCTGGAGAGGTTGTGGAGAAAGGGGTACACTCACCCATTGCTGGTGGGAATGCAAACTTGTGCAACCACTCTGGAAAGCAGTGTTTCGGTTTCTCAGGAAATTCGGGATCAACCTACCCCTGGATCCAGCAATACCACTCTTGGGAATATACCCAAGAGAGGCCCTATCATACAACAAAAGTATATGCTCAACTATGTTCATGGCAGCATTGTTTGTAATAGCCAGAACCTGGAAACAACCTAGATGCCCTTCAACGGAAGAATGGATGAAGAAAGTATGGAATATATACATATTAGAGTATTACTCAGCAGTAAAAAACAAGGACTTCTTGAATTTTGCATACAAATGGATGGAAATAGAAAACACTATCCTGAGTGAGGTAAGCCAGACCCAAAAAGAGGAACATGGGATGTACTCACTCATATTTGGTTTCTAGCCATAAATAAAGGACATTGAGCCTATAATTCATGTTCCTAGAGAAGCTAAATAAGGTGAATCCAAAGACAAACACATAGGCATCCTCAGGAATATTAACCTTCATCAGGCGATGAAAGGAGACAGAGACAGAGACCCACACGGGAGCACCGGACAGAAATCTCAAGGTCCAAATCAGGAGCAGAAGGAGACGGAGCACGAGCAAGGAACTCAGGACCACGAGGGGTGCACCCACACACTAAGACAATGGGGATGTTCTATTGGGATCTCACCAAGGCCAGCTGGCCTAGGTCTGAAAAAGCATGGGATAAATCCGGACTAGCTGAACATAGCGGACAATGAGGAATAGTGAGAATTCAAGAACAATTGCAGTGGGTTTTTGATCCTACTGCACGTACTGGCTTTGTGGGAGCCTAGGCAGTTTGAATGCTCACCTTACGAGACCTGGATAGAGGTGGGCAGTCCTTGGGCTTCCCACAGGTCAGGGAACCCTGATTGCTCTTCGAGCAGATGGGGGGGGGGGACTTGATCGGGGGAGGGGGAGGGAAATGGGAAGTGGTTGTGGGGACGAGACAGAAATCCTTAATAAATAAATAAATTTAAAAAATAAAAATAAAAAAAAATGAAAAAAAATAAAAAAGCGGTCACTTCCCTCTCCTCTCTCTCTTCACTTCCTGCTCCGCCTGCGACTAGACTCCTTTCCTGGTTGCGTAGAGGGCTGTTGCCTGGGACAGTGATCTGTAAGTTTTTTCCCCTTTAAATAAATACCACCCTAATAATCAAAAAAAAAAAAAAAAGAATATTAACCTCACAGACGGACTCAAGGCGGTTGCCACACCATGAACAAATTTGAACTTTTTTGGTTTGTTTGCTCAGGTTCAAAATCCATTAAATCTAGAGAGCTAAGAAAGCTCTGATTGGTAGGCTACAAACTCATTACTGCTGTGAAGTTGCAGAAATGTACTTACAACGTGAAAACAAAACACAGGAAGACAGGAAGAGAGAGTAGAGAAAGAAAAGGAATAAAAGGGAGCCCAGTCTTTCATTCCTTGCCATTCACTGAACACTGACGCCAGTGCTATGTTAGATGCCAAGTTCAAAGTCAGCCGTACACAGTCCTCATCTGCATAGAGTTCTCAGTTGAGAGAGTGCTCAGAATTCCAGGGCTAAAAACATTATGAGGCTCTCAGAGCTGGACTGGAAAATAGCGAAGGTTTGAATTTAGATATCCGTGAGAAACACCAGAAAGAGATGGGCCTCCTGCTGAATTCTGACCCTCAGGAGAGATAGGCATTCAGGAGAGTCACAGATGCAAGCACACCCAGGTATGGCTCATCCAGGAAACAGTGACAGCCAAGGTCTCTAGGGACTCAAATGGTAGAAATGCAGGTCATGCTGGGAAAATAAACTACAGTGGTAGAAAGCAGATCGGGTTTGCTTGAGGATTGCAGGAAAAAGGTACCCTTCAAAAACCAGGGCTAAATGAGGACACTTGCACATTCACATAAAGAAAATCCACAGCCAGCAAGACTGCTTCAGAAGATACTGAAGATGTCTTCAGGCTAAAGGAAAATGATATTATATGGAAAGTAGGGTTGGAGGAAGCCACAGGCACCACAAGTGATTCTAACTAAAGAGCACGCTCAGCAACCTGGGTTGCCCACCCAGTCATGTCTACCATTAACACAGCACCCCCTGTGCCACCTCTACCACCATATTCACCTCCGTGAGCAGCTAGGGGCAGCACTGCCTAACGCCTGCTTCTACTTGGCCAGCAGCTCCACCACACAGGTTACAGAAATTTAGTAACTTTCTTGGGACATGCCCTCAGCCTAGCCCCTGGCTTCTGTCAGCACTTGGGGAACAAGAAAGAGTAAACTTAGTGTTTTGCCACTGTGGTGCCAAATGAATGCCCACCCATCCCTAACTGCGCCAATTAGGGGGTCAAGTCAAACCAGGCTATCTCAAATGGAGGCTCTTTTCTGGTCTGTTCCAGAAAGCTACTGTTTCTGGAAATAGTGCCACATCTCGAGCACCTCACTGGCCTGGGTTTGCCTCCAAAAAGGCTTCATTACATTTGGCTGCTACCATGACAATAAAGAGCCATTCTGTAGAAGCAGAGGCAGAAGGCCAGGAGAGATGAGCCCCATCCTGCCCTGTGAATACAAGACTGGAGATCTTTCCTGCCTCTCCTTCCTCTTCATTCTATTTCCCCTTCGTCTTCCTCTTCCATACTTCTGTCTGTTGTCTTAGGCATTTTACAGGTGTGTACTGTGTATGTGCATGCATGTACACACACACCCATACACACACAGACATGTATGCGGATGACAGAGGGACAGAGGACAACTTGTAGAAATCAGGTGGTTCTCTCTTTCTACCAGACAGGGCCCAGCTATCAAACTCAGGTTGTCAGGCCTGGCAGTAAGCACCTTTGCCTGCTAAGCCATCTCACTGGCTCTATTTTGTAGATTTTAGCTTTTTCTTACGGTAGCATTATATTATATTTTAAAAAGTGACTCAGAATCTTGGTGGGTTTTTTATTAGCAGAATTTTTAAAGATGGTTTAAAGATAAGCATTTTTACCAGAAGTTCACTGCTTTTCAAAACAAGTACATTAAGACACAAAACAGATGGTTACATTTGAGTGTAACACCGTAAAAAATCTTTACTTTTCTTTTTTTTTTCAAATACAGTAATGCCAAAAAATACAGTGACAGCAAACCTGGAAGTGGGATGTGACTCCAGAGCCAGAAAGTTCCCAAGAGCCTCAAGTCAGAGCTAAGCTATAGGTAACTCAGGAGGAAGAGATGTGCCCTCAGGGACAAGGGGCTGTGGAGCATATCTTTACCTAGTATCTAGGGCTCTGGACGACTATCAAGTACAGCCTGTCGGCTAACTCCTAGAGATTATTCTTACCCATCTCCCACTCAGTGGACTAAGCAATGTAAACCAAGGGCTATTG